GAAAATTCATAATAAATACTTATAGCAAATACTTATAAAAAGAGAAATGCAAATAATATTTAATAAATGTTAAAAATTCGTAAATTGAAAAGGTGAAATTTATGTATTATTATATATACGTATACCTTAAAAATCTATAGCTGCTACAAAGAAAAAATTTTCGTCAAATCAGTTAAATGACATTTTTTTTGTCAAACCATATTTTACATTATTACGCAGCTTGTCATGTGATCTGGTTGAGCTGTGAATTTGTTTTAGTAATACTTGCTTTATTGCGAATGATAGCAGTTATTTTTATTTAATAAATGATCGACAAATTTTTACCCCAAAATTTAAGTGTAATTTTGTATCGATCTTTCATGGATCATGACTTAATTGGGTCAGTCAGGACTCCGCTTACTTATAAGATAGGTCACTTCCAGGCCTAAAGTAAAAATTATATATAAAATTCTTTGCAGATCCTACTATAAAAGGAAATTTTATGTTATATTGTTATGATTTTTTTCCTTTTTAGCTAATTAACCAATAGAATTTAAGAAAAAAGTAAGGTAAAAACTATTAGTAAAGGGTCAATTTTCTACAGTGACCTTTATTATAAGTAAGCAGGGTCCTGGTCAGCCAAACTGTGATTCAACCTGAGAAGGTTAGATCATGACTTTGATGATTTTTGATGAAATTTCCTTTTTTGGAAATTTCAAATTTCAAAAAATTGAAATTGTGAAAATCAAATTTTGAATTTTTGAAAATTGAAATTTTGAAATTTTTGATTTTTGAAATTTCCTTTTATGGGAAATTCCCTTAAATGATATATGGAAAGCCGTCCTTGACAAAAGGTTGATGTCCAGACATCATGAAATATAATGTTTAGACATCATGATGGTATGTCTAGACATCATGTTTGATATATGTAGGATGATGTTTATACATTATTTAACATGATGTAAAAGACATCAACCGACAAGATGTCTAGACATCATGCTGATCAAATTACCAAATATAGTATATTTATAAGTTACACAAAATAAAATTTACTATATTTGGTAACATGATGTCTAAGACATCATGTCGGTTAATGCTTGAGCATCATGTTGAATGATGTACAAACATTATTCTACATATATCAAACATGATGTCTAGACATTATCCAACATGATGTCTGGATATCAACCTTTTGTCAAGGACGGCTTTCCATAATGATAATGATTGATGTTACACATACATCCAAAACAGGAAATTTCGTGACACGAATTTATGTTGATCTATACCATTTAAGGAAATTTCACATAAAAGGAAATTTCAAAAAAGGAAATTTCAAAAATCCGAAATTTCAAATTTCAAAATTTTGATTTTCATTATTTTGTCACTTTTGGTCCAAACGGTACACCGTACAAACCAAACTGCTGCTCATTTTGGTATTGAACTTGATGAAGCCTTTGTTTTAATCCACCAGAATTTTATCCTATTTTTCAAGCTGCTTTTGAAGCTGCATATAAAAAATATGAATTACATATTCCAAATCATCCTACACATTCCTTATTTTGTGCAGTTCGTGTTTTTGATCCTAAATATATGCATATAGGAAATACTTAATGACATAGCATTTATCAATATTCGAACTTAATAATTCTTCAAATAACTTAGTACATGAATGGGGTATTTAGTGGGCTGGAATTTGATGGAAGTGTAGATGAAAGTAAATTGGACGTTTATTGGAATAATCTAACAACTCATTTACTGATCCTTTCCCAAATTGCATTTGATTATATTTGGCTACCTATATCTAGCTGTGCTGTTGAGCATAGTTTTTCTTTATATAATACTTTCTTAGATAATGACCATCAAAATTTTTATCAAAAGAATTACTTAAACAACTGAATATGATGTATTATAATCGAGATGATTGAATTTGTATATTTTTTTTGGGTTAAATAATAGTTTATTATAATAAAGTTGATATGAAATTATCACATAATATCACAATTTTTATGAAAATCGCCACAAAATCTCACAAAATACACAAAAATTAGATTCACAACACAACGCAAAATTAGCTTTTATCACACACAAAATTTGCCTTAGACCGCCACAAAAAATCATCTATCCCCTAGATACTGCACGTAAGTCACTGGTCACGTTATAGTTATAAAATTATGCTGAAATTAGGATGTGTGACAAATAATATGTGATGAATAGGATTTTAGCTACTAAAAAATTTCTCTGTCCCTCCCTCAGATATTTATGAAAGTGAGGGATGTAGGCTCGGGTCATTTGTCATTTTGGGAAGCCGTCATTTGTTATTTCAAGTCATTGATCAAGAATATTTAAAATTGTTCAAGTGACTTATTTGATTGGCCTAAATTTGGACATTAAGTTCATTTACATAAATCATGCAATAAATCACACGACTAAATCACGCGATTGACCGGCATTACCTATATACCCGTATGAGCTCGCTTGTTGGGCACTTGGGCTACGAAATTGTTTCATATTAAATCCTTTATTACCTTATTTAAATATCTAACTAATTCGGAATAGGTTAAAACTTTGAATTGTTAGAATTGTTAAGCGAAGAGTATAAGTACCGCATAATGTAACTGTACAGACAAATTGGGAAAAAAAAAATTTTTTTTTCGAGAGTTTTTTTTTCGTCAAACTTTATGCATTTCATGCATGCAAATAACAAAGAAAAGTGAGGGAATGCAGGAACAAGATTGTAAACATTCAAATAGCGTAAATAGCGTAAGAATTATTTTCAAATAACAAAGAAAGTCATATAATAATGGTTCTTGTATTTTTGTTTGGCACAATTACGTCATAAATATAATTATATGGAAATATGTTGATCGGCGTAAATTTGTAAAATACATATGAATTTGGACTAAACTGTCAACTAATAAGTATTAAAAAAGAAAATTTTAAACTTTTTACCGATTTTTATTTTATTATGGGCGAAATTCTACATTATTGACATCAGAAAAGGATATAAAAAGAAAATAATAATATCATGCAAAAAAAGGAGATCTTTATTTGTATTATTTTTTAAAACAATACAATACAACTTTTTTTAGAATAATCATTCGTTAACCAATTAAAGAAAACGCGGGATTTTAATGATCAATATTTTTAGACATTAGTAGCATTAATTTCTATTGGTCGCCGCAGTATTCCTTATGACCGGCTTGGGTATTTATCATGTAATACTGTATAGGATCGAAAATCGAATCTTTTCAAGATTTTTCTTATAGATGACCTTAAATCAGTTTCTAATTTCAGCAAAAATAATCAGCACTTGACCAACATGAAAAATTACTTTGGAGTCAGGTTAACTTATATGTAAAAAATTGCTGAGAATCGATTCTCGAGAATCGATTTTACTATGTTTTGTCGATTTTCGATTAATAGATTCTAATCCCTAATTGTATAACATTCCATAAACTGAAGAAGTTCTTTATCGTTCTTTTCGTGTATTTACACCTATTAAACATATAGCATAGCTATATTTATTACACGTGCACAGTGCATTCGTGTTGTTTTAATTTCTTGTAATAAAGGGCAATTAACAACTAAATAATTTGTAATTTGTCCAACGTTCACAAAAAAAATTCTGCTTTAATTTAGTATTATTCTTATAAAAATATTGGTTTGTCAAATTTACATTTTTAATATAATTACAAATAATACATAACTAAAAGCTAACAAATATTAATATCATGTATTTACTGAACTAGCAGAGTATGTCAAATATGAGTGTGAGAAATTTCCATTCTTGATTACAAGTAATTTCTTCATTTTCTTCCTCAATAATAATTTGCTTTGCTTTCTTTGTACTTTAGTTGGCTGTATACTATAAAATTAATACGAAAAAAATAATTGATTCAATACATATGGAAGTTGGTCGATCGTTTGTTGTGAGATCAATATCAACTTGATATAACGTTCGATTAATAGCATCTTTGAGCTCTTAGATGATCTGTGAATCTGTCTCAACATATCCGCAAGAGATAATGTAGCAAACATCATTTCGTGGCCTTTAATCCCAGAATATAACACATCAATTTTCTCTACAATAATATCGAAACATCTGTGATTACGTTGTAAGAATCGAAAGGTTTTTTCTATCTTGCTCTTACTTATCTTGGCTGATAAAACGGAAGTTTCTGACCATAGACAGTAAAATAAGTCCTTTTTAGGAGACATAATAGGACATAATGATGCGGACAATAAAGAATCAACTCGTATTTATATGATATTAGCGAATAGAGTTATAAATTTTAACTTTACATTAAATTTACTCTATATTTATCGCTACACAGAGTTTTTGATACAAAAAAAAATTTATTGTGATTGACAAGACCGTCGTAAAAATCATGTGGAAATGTGTAAAGGAAAAAACATTGAAGATATAATTATAGTATATACTGTATAAATCAAAAAAACTTTCGGTTTTTTAATTACCTAATTATATTATTCAGCTAATACAAAATAGGTTAGATATATATATATGAGAAAATGGATATAAATACGCTTATTGAGAAAAAAGATTTTTTTGTTTTTTTAATGCATGCAAATAACAACAAAGGAAGGTAAAGAAGGAATAAAGTTCAAAACTTGAACTATTATAAACTTTTCTTTGTAATTATTACGCTATTTTAAATAATTACCATCACTTTATCACTTTATACGTCATAAACATATTTAAATTATAACTCGTTAAAATTATTCTCCTTATATTTAATTTGGGCGTAATTTGCATATGAATTTGGTTAAATGGCATTAAATCGGCAATCAATAGTCTTATGTCAATGGATATTTTAACTTTTGCCGAGTAAAAACTTGATTTATTATGTGCGCTTAATTATTGCGAAAATCCATGGTTTAAAAGTCAGTAGATATAAAAAGAAAAAATAATCATTTTATGCAACAAGGAACTCTTTATCCGTATTATTTTTTTTTTAACAATACAAATTTTTCTTTTAATTACCCAATTTATTAGTTAATCAAATAATTGTTGATCATATATATCATGTGATATAATATTATATTGATATAATCTTACTCATAAAAAAAAATTGTAAACAAATCGTCACAAACTGATTCTACTTTTTTGGTCATTAGAACGTTCTCTCGCCGTTTTTTTTTCGTGCATTATTTCCTTATACAAATTTTCATTACAAAGAAACAAGATAATTATTTAAAGGAAAGGACTCTACAAGCGGATAAAAAAATTATAAAAATTTTTTTTAAAAAATAATATTCTTCGATATGAATTTTTTTGCAAAACTTGGCGTTTGTTTCTTAGCAATAATTTTACTTATCTTATCCTTCGCTGGGCTAGCTTCTTTTTCACTAGGTGAGAACTTATTGATAAAAAGTTTTTTTTCAGCGGAAAAAAATATATTTGATCGGTATGGTTCGCTTAAAATATTCATAATTTTTTTTTAAAAAAAAAATCAGAGGTTGCGAAGATCGCCCTTTTTAACCAGACAAATGGCGAATTAAAACTACATCCTATGGATTATGTGTAAGTAATAAAAGATATTAAATGTACTTAATAATTTGAAATGATTTATTAATTGGTTATCGATCTTATAAAAAAAACAGATACCTAACCGCGCTCGTCTTAGGCAGTAAGTTATTAATTTAAAAAAAGTAAAATTTTTTGAAATTTTAATAATTGTTTACTAATTTTTCGTAGTGAGTGGTTTCTATTGCTGCCATTCTACTAAAAGTGATGAAAATAATAATAATTATCATTATGGAATAAGGTATTTATATTAATTATATTTTTTTGATCTAAAAAGCGATAAATATAATTAACCTACCTATTTGAATTATACTTATTTAAGTGGAACTCTAGTTTCCTTAGCGATCATGAGTAAGTTAATATGACAGTGATTTATACGTATACAGTATCTTGATCTTGGTAATTTATTAACTTAATTCTTTTTTTAGTTTTATATACTATTTTTACAAAAGATGAAATGGGAGATATTCCATTTTTTTGTCCTGCAAATTATCCTTATACGTCAACTTTAATTCGTACCGCATGTCAAGTAAGAGCCGCGAATCTATTAATAATGTGGATATCTCCTGCTGTAGCGTTCTTTTTGGTTATTGCTGCACTCATAATTTCTTTTTGTTGTTGTGCTGGTAAAGACAACTGTTGCATTGCATAGTAATATAATCTTATAGGAGAATTTCATTTCATATTTTTCTAATTTTTGCTTAAAACCTTTTTTCATTATTATCATGTATATATATACCTGTATATTTTGATGCAATTAATATTGATCAATTTATAAAATTTATAATAAAAAAAATACTTTAGAATTTTAATAAGAAAAATAACAACCCGTTGATCGTTTGTGATTAAAAAGTATTTGTTAATGTTATGTCGAGATGAATTACTAATTAATTATTAAGTTACATATAAAATATGTGCAAACGTTTGATGTTTTTTCTTTTCTTCAAAATTTCAAAATTCGGGAACCAAGTTTTTTTATTTGTCATAAACTTGAACATTCTTTTATACTCGTTCTTTATCTCTAATTTTTAGCAATAATAATTTCATATACGGATTAATGTGTAAAAGAATCTTTAAAAATAAGTTTCATAACCGCTAATATGAATATTCTTGATTGATTTCGGCTTCAAAATGGAAATTTGTTAATAATATTTAAACTATATTCTGCGTAATTGTTTCTGAAGTAGTGACGTACATAACGTACGTACTATTTCATAAAAAAAAACAAGTGATAAATTTATTAACGAGAGAAAAGAATGCGCCGGCAAATAAAAATTTCAAGATTTGATCCCAGAAATATCTGCCTCGAATATTTTATTTCAATGAAATTTTTCTTTCGAATTCTTGCTCGTATTATTGCTCTTCGTTTTACGCGAAATCTTGAAATCTTATTCATGAATTATTATAGCTTAATTATCAATTTATTCATCGATTAATGGTTATATTTTTTGTGTAACTTAGCAATGGAAATATGCATTATGCAGTGTATTTATCCGTTACAAGCTAAAAATCAAATTCATATCCCATTTATTCTATATTTGAACTCGCAATATGTAAACCCAACAATGATTTTAATTCAATTACAAATATTCTTTATTTCCATAGATGAAAAGTTGAGTAAAAAAAAATTTTGTGTAACATTTTTATATAGAGTACGTTCATAATTTTGAAACTTGCAATATTAATTTCACATATAATTCTATACATTATTCATTAATACCCAGGTCTATCCTAAGAATATACTCTAAAGCCTATTTCATTACTATTTCTTGATAATCTGATATGGTAATTATTTGTTTATACAAGAATGAATCATATTTTTGACTTCTGTAATCAAAAATATAGTATCAACTTGCTATTAATATTCTATTATATACCTTTCTTAACTCCCTATGTTATCAAGTTCAATTATGAATAGGCAGATATTAATTAATGTAAATACATTTTATTAGATGATAACAAATTTAATAAAAATAAAAATAATTACCTGTTTGCATTCAAAATTGTTGAAAAAAAACATCCAATCAGGATAATCGGTATCGTCTTCTAGCCACTTTAAGGCTTGCCATTTTAACATGAATAGAATGAATACATATGAATATTCTTACTACTTATAAGTAAGAAACTGTTTTTATTATTCCAATCCACGTGGAATATAATATGCAGATTTATATATACTTTTTTCTTTACTATATGTGAACTCATCGTAAACATCACCCGGAACAACGAAAAAAGTTAATTTTGGATCTAAAGAAGTAGTGAGAATTGTTCTACATTGGGAATGATTCGTGGTTGAGATTTCCACATTCTTCACATTATTCCTTTTTTTTACCCTAATTCCTTTAATCCTTACCTAACTTAATCTTCTTTCCCTTACCCTATCCTAATTTTATATCGTCATATTTAGGACCTTTGGCATTAACTATATATCAGATGTTTCTATTCCTTAAATATATCTTCCCTGTCCTGATTCTAATGACAGCATGAGCTTTTAAGTTCGTCAATCATCCACAAAATTATGTATCTTATGGAAGTCATTTTCCAAAATATTCAATTTTAAAGCTCTATTAAGATATTAATTAGGATTTTCTTCTAAAATCTTCATATAACTTGACAAATTCATAAATTATCCCTTCATAAGGCTGAAACCAATCCAGGTTCAGCATTAGGCCAAGATTTAAATCGGCAACTTTCGGTCAAAAGAAATTAGGTGAATCAATTTCAGATGATCCTTTGAATGTTTTCAACTCGACCGTCATAAATGTTCGGATAAGACATTCTGAAGTTGTGAATGGTCGATCTAATATCGCAACTTTGAGGTAGTTCTATTTATAAACAATAAAATAAAGCATATGAAAATCAACGTTAAATAAAATCAGAGTTTCAATTTTGACTTTATAAGGTCATCATGACTATTATATAACCCTTATATTAGTCATAGTATTTCACCTTTTTTCTTTAAAATTAAGGATCAAAATAAATATCATTACTTTTAATTTGATAAATTAATGACTTACTTTTAACTTGTTATTTACATATTAATATAAAGATTTCATTGTCAATAAACCATTAAAGCTCTTCTTCAATATTAATTTCTATATGAGATTTATTCATAAGTGTTTTCATCTTTTTATCAAATTCACCGCCCACTTTTTTGGTCGGAATAGTGACTTTCCTTAGGTTATTATAAAAATATTTTTTTTAAAAAAAAAAAAATTGAGTAGCCCTAACTGTGTTATTATTGTTATTTTCAAAATGGTTGAAATTCTACATAGAGAGAGTAAAAGAAAGAAATACACGTGTGTAAAAAATTGTATCAAAAAAATATGTATCAATACATAAAAGTACTTAATATCAAAATATGTAAAACAATAACTTGTTAACAAATCAAATTTGAATATATTAAAATAACTATATAAAAAATAATTGTAGTACTTTTAATGACATAAAAAGCTAAAAATTATCGCCAATCAGATCAAGACATCAAACATGATAATTAACTTATGACGTTTCTATTGTTTATATTGTTTATATTTAATGTTTATATCAGATATTGTTTATATTTTAATATTTATTCATTTTACCTTGAGACTTTCAGATTAAATTCTCTTTTATATTTAAATTTTAATACGGAAAATGGATTTGAAAGAGAAGGGTATATCATATAAACTTAATTTGTTGAGTCTTTGTTGTTGTTGTTATAAATTAAATAAGAATATTTTTATCACTTTTTTTTTTCTTCTTTTTTTTTTTAGTTTTGAGTGACGAAGAAAATGGCTTAAACACATCTCAATATTCGGATGATGATTCTACTTTACCATTTAGTACAGATTCTGAAGATGAAAAAGATTATTTAAAAAGTCTCGAGCAAAAGAATATACCTTCATCAAAATTTACTTGTATCAAAAGAAAATACTTAAAATTTAATCCCGGATCAAAAGAGTTGATGATAGAAAGATCATTGCAAGATAGAAAAATTGTAAAGATCGGTGAAGTATGGTTTTCTCATCCTATGTATGATGATCGGTCATCACCAGAAGACTCTTCTTCAGATGATGAACGAAGTGTGAATAATAAAAATATCTCTTATAAAGTATGTGATAAAAGATTCAGATTGTAATGATGAGGGTGTATCATCATCATCAACTTTAAAACTGAAGAGAGCGAGGATAATACGATAAAAGAGAATAACGTAAAATCTATTTTTATTATACAGCAGAATCATATTGAATCCCTTTCAAATATTATGGATTTAATAGTAGGAACATCCGAAGAGTCAGAACAATTTGATGAATTATATCAAGCGAAAGAAGCTATGGAAATAGATTCTAAATCTTCATGGAATATTGTAAAAACATCCGATGAAGAATCAGATCAAATCGATGAACTTCATCAAGAGATTGAAGGTAGTAATTCTAATTCATTTAAAAAGGAGTTTCTAAATGACAGGGAAAGGTTATTAATATGATTTGATTTGGACTTTATTGTAAGAAAAAATAATGAAAAAAAATTAGTTCTGGTGAAAAATTAGAAGCTCAGAGTCCATATATACCCAATGAAAAAATATTAGGATATTATTACTATTATTAGTAACATTTAGTACTTCAATTCTTGTCATCCTAATGAATTAAAGATCATTTAAACGAGAATTGAACTATTATTACATTAAATAATAAATTATTTAAACGTTCTATTTGTGCACGATTTAAAATAGGATTCATCTGAAGTGATATAATTCGCAAGAAAATTTTTTGGCCCTTGTTCAACTGTGTCTAATCAGCCTAAATATTTTTTAAGTATTTGATATATTATTTAAAATAATTTCACTTTATATATCAAATAATAGAATACATTTTTATTTGTTTTTAATAGTTTGTGTAATTTATTGATCTTCTCTCTTGTCATAAACTAATTCTTGGTGGCAGACTTAGAGAAGAACTACGTCTTACGATACACGATACACGATATACACGTGAATGATAGAGGTTTAGGTCAAAATTTTTTAGTGTCTAGTTGGATATGATCGTTTGATAACAAAGACTATTAAAATGTAACATTGTATCGAACGCGTAAAATGACATTATGCGTGTCCATTTTTTCCCCGCTTTTATATAATATAAAAACGATAATTCACGCATATATATTAAACTTTTAAAAATTGTCCAAAATTTTTTAAAATTTGTTACAGAATTTTTTCAAAATTGTGTTCTCCTTTGACGAAGAATAAAAACAAAACCAAAAGTTAACATTCATTAAATCCTATGATGCGTTAAAACTTACACTCCACGATCTTATTTCTAAGGTTAAAATAATTATATTATTAATGATTCCCTATCAAAAGATTTTTAAAGGATCCTTAAGGAGCCTAAATTTACCCATTAAGGAATCCTTGTTATCGTTATCCATTTTTCTACTCTTCTGTCTTTGCTAGACACGCGTCCTGTCCAGAAAGACTTGAAAAATCGCCTAAAAAATGAAACAAAATGAACAGTAGTTAATATAAAAAAAATGAGAATTTTTTTTTTACTAACCAACATATATTATACTACAAATAAAAGAAAAAGGAAAATTTAAAACAAAACTTACCCAAATTCCCGAACTCACCTTCTTCTCGGGACCTCCACCTTTGGAAGAACTGGAGTTGGATTAGTCTAATCTCCGGATAATGAACTTGGGTTGGCACTCTCTAATATTCCTAATATTCCTAAACATTATGGTAATATCATCCAATTCCGTCTTAGAAAAATCATATAGACTTTATCGATATCATAGATCCGTCTAAAAAGAAAATAAAAAATGAAACGTTAATAAATGTCTCGTTAAAATAAATAAGAAAAAAAAATTTTTTCCCACCAAATTTTCACGCGTCCAAATACAATTTAATTTTATTGACCATCATCTTTTTCTTACTTTCGGTAAACATCAATGGCTTTCTTGATTGTGAAATCGACTCAGCCTGATGCTTCTTCGAACTGGATAAAAAAGAATAAAGGAAACGTTAATGAACATTTCCTAAATAAATCAATAAAAAGTTTCACAACGAAAATGTCGCAAAACTTACCAAATCCCAAGTCGAATACTGGAAAACGTTTCTATTAAAAAAAACAAAAAAAAAAATTATATTTAAGTTTCACAACGAAATGAAACGTTGTGAAACTTACTATTTCATTTCAAAGTTTTCAAGCCGAATACATTTGAACCTATAAAAAAAATGAGAAACGTTAGATAACGTTTCTTATAGTAAATAAAATTAAGTTTCATGAATTTGGAACCTATTAAAAAAAAGTGAAACTTACCTGCCATTTTATTATATTACAAGTATAAAATATATTTATAGTTTTAATAGACGATAGAAGTTGAAATATAGAAATTTCCGTTGGCATCATGGAAAGACTTTTCGTATGCATGGAATTTAAGAATTTTCCATAGTACTATCTCTAAAGTCTGTCCAAATCACAAAAACCTAAAGAAGGGAGAGGGAAAAGCGAAAGAAGGAAAGGAAAAAGGAAGGGCGAAAGAAAAAAAAAATTACAAAAAAAAAAAAATTTTTTTTTACTATAGACTGCGGCTAGCCGGCTGCACGCCCTTGTGATACACATGATACAATTGATACATGTGATATAACACGGAACCTACTAGTTAGGAGATTTGAATAATAAAGATCTAGATTTACTTAAAAGATTTTTTATATAGGAATCCTTAAGGAGCTATAAATTTATAGATTCCTTAAGGATATTTTACAAGCCAATAAGGATTTTTAAAGAATCCTTAAAATTACAGATCCTTAAGGATTCCGAAGCAATTCATGGAATCCTATGTCCCATGTCCCAAAAAATTTACTGATGTTCAAAAAAAAACCCCAATTTTACCTTTTGCCTTATGTCGAGTTAATATAGACCCTAAAAGAAGGGTCATCAACGACGGAGAAGGGCAAAACCTCGTATTAGCCACTGAACAAGGTATTTATCAACTTCTTTTTGTTCCGTTTACTAAGAGGGTTATTGCACTTTTTTTCACTCATTTCTGACAGGTGCAATTGAAGATGCTTTTGTAAGGTTGAAGTTAATTTGTATTTTTTGGAACATTCTTTACATACATTATAGCCTTGTGCGTAAAACTGGATCCTTGTCAAAATATATCCATACGCTACTACTGCTTCCTGAAAAAGCCGTTAGCTCCTGAAACCTGACATCTCCATTGTCTTCTTCAAGTTGATTTGGATCAAATTCTTCACTGCTTAACGTATTTTCGGATAAGGCTCCTTCTGCGTGTTCCTCCATTTCAATAGAAAAGAAGTGAATTTTTTGAATTTTTCTTGATTACTGTATCGATATTTAATATTTTTTCGCATTCTCATTATTTCTACTTTAGGCAGATTATCATACTACTATTATGACGTTTGAGATAACAATTATTTAAGTTTTCATGTGGAAATTCAACTGTTTATTATTTATATAGAAAGATTGACAATTTGGAATATGTCAGAACACAAATATATCACAAATTTATTATAGCAATGAATTCTATTTTAGGCAGATTGTCATATCTGTTACAAATTATATAGTTAAACGGTAGATTTGATAATCATGATATATTGACAAGTATTAATTTAGTATACAAATTTTATTGTTATAAGACGAACAGAACCGGTTTCAACCCTACTTTCAGAGTCGACTCTTCATGGAACCGTTCGTTCCGTTCGCGCTGCTCGGTTCGGCTCAAAAATAGTTCTGGTTTTCGGCTCCAAAGTCGTCTCGAGTCGTTTCATTTCCATCCCTAACTGTACATCATAATAGGACATAATGTCTTCGCAAAACTACGATCAGAAGGAATAGGGATTGGAATCGATTCAATCGAAAATCGAAACCCGAGAATCGATTTAAGAATCGATTAATCGTTTCTCAGTAATTTTACAAAAAAAAAAAATATTTTATAAACATTTTCGTGATGCAACGCTTTCGATGATCCCGGCGGCACAAAATTTTAGGTGGATTTTAACTAAAATACTAAAATAATCTTTATTGTAAAATTTGATTTTTGATTAAAAAGTAAAATGATTTTATTTTTGCACTGAATAAAAACCCTGAAAATTTATTAGCTAAAGTAATTATTATATAAAAAGTCAAATTTGTTGCAGTAGACATTTTTGGCCCGCATTATAGAATTATATTTAATTCTGGCTAAAAGATGACACAGGCCCCTGAACTCGAAATTATCAATCAATAAAAAAATTTTTTTTTAATTAATTAAACATTAGCCACAATTAACTTGATTGGATAATGTTTGACTAAATTCTCAATTGTCTAATTGTCCAATATCCAATTATTATTGGTCAAAAAGCCATCACAATTGTTGAATTTTTTCGATTTTTTTTTTGTTAATTCTGAGATTTTTTTCGATTTATTGGGATTCGATTTTTAGATTCGATTAATCGATTCTATTAGATACGATTCGATTTTCGATTAAATCGATTTTAGTCGAATCCCTAAGAAGGAGTCTATATACAGCAGTCAGAACTCGATATAACGAATCCTCCGGTTCAATGAAAAAATATCGCAAAATTTATAAGTTTGATATAACGATTTTATATGTACTGTACATATACTGTATAAAGATGAAATCTTAAAAAATCGCTTTATTGACTGTACGCAACCATTTTTATTAATTCTTTAGTTAATAGTTTCATAAATCGTGGAAGACAACTTTTCTTTCTGAAATAAAACTTTTTGTAATATTTTTTTGGATCCTTTTTTCTGTAAGAATTATTTTCATTTTCCGTGAATGGATCCGTGAAAGGCTCATTTTTACGGAGTTTTTACAGAAATAACGGATAAAATTTTTTATAGGGAGGACGCCTGCTAAGTGTTCCTTCTTTTCTAGCTCTGGTCCTTAGATGTCTTGGGAAAGTATGTATATATTTGGAATTTTTCCTTGATTATTTAATCCGATTCTGTATCTTTCATTCTTAGTCAATTTAACTTGCTTACTACTAACGCATTTGCAGCATGATTAGCATGATTAGAACTATTACCAGAAGCAAATGATCCAATATAATTTGAAAACATCAGCCAAAAAAATTTAAATCATCTTCACTTTTACTTCCAATAAATTTTTCTGGGTTGAAAATTAACGCGCTCTTTTTCGTATATGATGATTAAAAACTAGTTTATTAAAGTTCTTCCATAGTAATGGATTTTTATCTTAATAACAGATATCTAAAGTACAATTTAATTTGTATATAGTGAATCTATCACTATATGATATAAATTGGTATAAGTGGTTAGTCAGAGGAAAAAGGTTGTTATAATACAAAATTGGTTGTCCTGGTTCCTGAATCGTTATATTCAAATTCTGACTGTATGGAACGTACTTATACACAAAATCACGAGGTAAAATGATGAGTCAATAAAATGGAATAAGGCATAGTAATTGCTATCAAATTGTTATTAGATTTAATGAAAATTAAAA